AATTTCATATGAAACTCAATTACAGAAAATCCGTAAATATCCAGAGATTTAATATGTACTTTTTTAAAGAAACAAGTAAAAATCCTACAATTGTGGCGAAAACAGCCATTGCCCATTGCATGAAAAGAAGCAAAATAGCAATGATAACAAATAAGCTAACTTCTCTCTCGTGAACCGTGGAGATGAACTATGATATACTTTTTTGTATAGACTAAAGAGTTTAATCGATCAAATAAGTTTGACGCTGGTAAGAAAACGACGCACATCTGCATTCATACATGTGTAGCCGACATATAGGTCTTTCGTCGATAGTTATAAATGCATCCTCGTAGGAGCAGATAACTGACAACCACAGTTGACTCGCTGTTATGAATTTAAGGTTTTTACCTTGATTTTCATCAAAAAATTGCTTGCCGAATCCCAAATACACACATACATTTTCCTCACTCTTTCCTCAGGAGGGAGTGGGAAATTGTGAAATTTTCGGAAAAGCGGTCAATTTCGGTAAATCTCAGTGGCAAAGGACGAAATCCGCCATTTTATTGGCGTCATCAGATATCTAAGGCTGCGCTTGAGATAGCCGCTCCAGTTATTATAGAACTCAATGGTCGAACCAGTTGAGCCACCCCGCTTATCAGTCAGCCAGTTAATATGATTCTATATATGTTTTTATTTACTGATCTGTTTACTAAGGTGGTATTTGTATACGTTTTCACACATAAAACAGAGTTTTGACGATGAAATCCAACGATTACAGAAAGAAAATTTAATGATAAAAAAATTTGTAATCTTAAAATTTGATAAATAATTTTTGAACTATAAACATCAGTCGCGTGAATGATTTGACATAACCTAGATACGCCCCTGCTTTTGATGGCTTCTTTTTCGTCTGAAGAACCTGTTTCATCGCCTACTGATGAAAGTGAAGTTCTTGTTCCACAGTTCGAACAAAAATAATATGTTTCTTGTATAATGCAACCACACGATGAACAAAACATGTTTTTTAAGTGGTTTTAAAAATATCTGTTAATACCTGAATCTGCTGACAGACATCACAGAATAGAGATCACACAGAAGTCCCACTCAGCATAATTTGTGTCTCCAAATTTTACTTGACTTTCGGTTTCGCCGCCATATTGAAAGAAAGCCTCTGGGGCAATTTCAATCGGGAATACTATTATACTATTTTGATTTTTGAAGAAAATAATTAAATGTTTGGAGAATGTCCATTCGACTATTAAGTAAAAGTAAAGTAATTTTAAGAAGACAAATACTGGACTCAAGAATGAAGTTAAATGCGCGTAGTTTATTGATTATTAGTAAGTTTTGCTGATTTTAAACATCGTATTATTCCGTATTTGTATGCTTTGATGTATACTTTTAACTTATTATCATGTTTGTTTGTTATTTGATTTTTTGTAGACGATACTATTCATATTCTGACTCTTTGACGTTCTTTTATTCTGCTTTACTTTTTTCCTGCAAGACTAATTAGTTGAGTTTGGGTACCAGTAGTGGTCTAGGGGTAGTCACAGCAAGCAGCAGCGAGCAAAATAAATTAAAGCTGCTTAATTTTAAATTCAAAGCACTTTCAGAAAAGCACTATTGATTTTTATTTTCTAAAGAATAAAATTGGACTTGTCTCTGAGGGGTTTAGAAATGAAAATATATTCCAAAATGTGCAGCAGTAATTTTTTTACTAACCCTAGATCCGCCACTGTTTGGGACTGTGCTGCAAAGTAAAAAAGCTGCTTTTATAATTGAGGAAGTACAATCTTGTTTGTTTATTGCAGTTCCAAATTTTTCTTTTTGTCCAAAATAAAATGTAGAAGGTCTGAATGTCTTGTGTTCTTGTTAATCTATTATTGCTAATAATATGACATAGAGAATTTAACATAGGCTTGTGCTATTATTAATTTCCTTTGTATAATGTGAAAGCCTCATTAATAAATGCAACTGTTGGACTAAGTTTGAATAACAAGTTGATTACAACTCATGGCACAACAATTTTTTTACAATTTTTCAGGCCACTATTTAAAACAGCATATGTCCATAATATTTATTTATTCAATTTTGATGAAAATGAAGTAAAAAAGAGACTTAAATGTTTAAAGAAAGGCCTCCTTCCCAGAGTTCCCTCTTACATTCTTTTCACAAACTTTCTTGGCAGCATACGACAACAAGGTTGACATTAGAAATACACCACTCTTACACAATTTACCTATGCAGTTCAGAAACAAGTTTTTCAATTCTTTTCTCACCACTTCAACTAAAAATTGTGCAACTGATTTTGACAAGTAACTAGCAGATGTGCATACAAAGTCAAAGAAAAATCCATTGGTTATAGCGACATATAAACCAATAATTCTTAATGTTGAAACATCAAACTACAAAGACAGCTTGCAAGAAAAATGTCTGATACAAAACAATGCAATATCATGTGTTGCTTGCTACCCGCAGCACAAATGCCTTGAGTTGCATTCAAGTCATGTACGGGCCACAGCTGCACAGACCCAAATTTCAGATGCCCAAACAGAGTTGTTTTGCAGTTTGCTATTTCAAAGCATTTAACCACACTACAGGGGACTTTAGTGGACTACATGCATAATCTTCTTGCATACATAAAGGAGACAGAGAAGATATTTTTAGGCCCTTTTTCATCGTGAACCAAGATTTTGTCAATTGGAAGAGTTATTTTCGATAAGCCTCACAGTGTTTCACTTCCATACGCCCGTTGCGACAAATTCCTTTCGATTTTTTGAAAAAAATTTGTGTTAGGATGAGAATTTACTACGCTGTCAAACAGAAAATTCATTAAAGTAACACATTTATAATCAATTCAGCGGCATGCAATCTGGAGTCGATGAACGAAGCAATTAGTAAACATAGCTAAAACCCACCAATTTTAAAACATTATTACGACAAAATCAAAAAAAGAAAAGCAAACCTTGCTCGTTGCATTTCTAAAAATTAAAACGCCATAAAAGAAATGATGAACGCGAAAATCCGATTTTTCGATGAACGTCTATGATTCCCATAGCAGTTTCTACATCGCGCAACTAAAGAGGCTTTCTTTCAACATGGCGTCAGAGCCGGATGTCAAAAATTTTTGGAGACAAAAACTTCAAAGGCTCCAACAAGAGTAGGACTTCTGTGTGATCTCTATTCTGTGCAGACATCCTACCTGGCAGTTGCCTTTACTTCATGTAATGTGAGTTGACATATTTAAATGTGAGTTAATAAATTCGAATGTGAATTGATAAAATTGAATGTGAGTTGTCAATCTTGTGTTATCTTTTCACCTTTGTTTTTAATATTTAATATTGTGAATGCGTTGACACCTAAGAGCCACCGTACTCCCAAGCTCCGGTGGTCTGCTTTAATCGTCCATTTCACTATCAAATCCCTCCACCTCTAAATCGATTTCATTTACCCATATTCCAATTTGGTAATCATGATCACCTCTCTCAATTCGAAGTTCTTTAATTGAGTTTTAGTTGATCAATTTCTGAAGTTAATTTTCCAACTGTATGCCGGTTATATTTCGCTTCTTGATTGAGCGCTTTATAGTTTCTCTTGCGCTTTGTCCCAATTTGTTTCAATAACTCCTCCATTTCTCACAATGCAGTCGGGGGTTTCACTTTGTGTTGGGAACGCTATCTCAAAATTACTGCTCCCGGTCGAATAAAGTCTCTAAATACCCCTTACTCACGTGATTGTATACTACTAATGATTAACTATATGATTATGTAATTCAATCGTCAGAGTTCCCTACAAATATTGTCACTAGGGTATTTTGGCAAAGCAGAGTGGAGTACTTCACAAGCAAATTCCAGAACGGGTCTAATACAGCAGCAATAAAAATTAACGATTTTTCTAAGTGGATTTTTTTTCTTTTTAGCTGAACTATAGAGAAAATTCTTTGGAAGGCTTTCTTGATTATGCTTGAGACATGTGCAGACCATCCAAAGTCATCACTTATTGAGAGACCAAGAATTTTGGTTTGATGGACTAGAGTTGGGCACCCTGCTAAAAGGTAGATGCTATCTAAAGTAGCTATATTTATATGAAATTGGAAAAGAAGTTCTTTGCATTTCTTAACATTAAGTTGGAACTTATTCTCCTGATTCCAATTTTCTAGTTCATCACCTCTACACTGAAAATACATGATTTCGGTTCTTTGAATGGCTTCCGAAAAGGTTGTGTCATTGATATACTTCCAATGGAAAATATCTGTCAGCCTTAGGTCATTAATCATTAGGATGAAAAGTGGCAAGTATGATACGTAGCGTAGTATGATACGTGGCAAGAAAAATAAGTGAATCGATAAAAACAGTTGTATGACCATGTTTTTGTAAGTTTTGATAACGTTGGTCTTAAATTCTTCTTAATGTCAGGGATGTTTTTGAATTTGGGAACAGGAGGTACGTCCGCTATTTTTCATATCTTCAACACCTTGCATTCACGGAAGAATTTATTAAATAAACCCGTAAAGGCTGAAGTCAGAATCACAGAGAAGATTTCTAAGATGATTAAACAGGACCGCTAGCTTTAGATATGCTAATTTTGTGTAAGAGCCGTTCCACAGTTATTTCTAAGACAAGTATTGGTACATAAATGTCAGTCAGTAAGTTAAAATCATCTGGTAAAGGAGGAAAATCTTTCATCACACTGACAAAGGTCTCATTAATAATATCCTCCAGACCTTCATCACTATCTTCCACGTCAAATATAATCATAGATCTATGGTTTGGCGGCGTTAATTGTTGAACACTGAGTTGTTAAATCTCTCTCCACCAGTTCTTTTACAGTGGGTGGTGTATGTCAGTACATGAAAAGGTGCAAGGGTATAGGAAAAGCGAAGATTGTAACTAACTGTATATATTGAGTGTGGTTATATAAAATCTGAGTGCAACTGGAGACTATATTGGACAATAATTTTCAGCAAATTTCTAAATTACCTAACATGTTTACGAACAAAATAAAGTAAATGAACGAACCTGAAATACTGTCACATGGTGCTCCTCAAATATTTTTTGACAAAGCTTATCTGGAATTAGTTTGAAAGTTTGTGGAACCATTAAGAGCTCAGCACCTTTAGATAGAGCGAGAAACATTTGAACAACAAAAGGATCAAACGTATAGGGCGATGAAATAAATACCACGTCACGTGAAGATATTTCAAATATCGTACTAGAAAATAACAAGATTGATGAAAATATACTTCATTCCATAGTAAATTAGTAACTAGGCTGAAATTTCTACCAAACAATTTCACATCCAGCAAAAAACTTACATATTCGTTTCAAAAACAATTACCTCCTCTATAAGACCTAGCCTAGATCACAGTCAATTACCCAAAATTGAGTGTGCAGTATAGTCAGTAATAATATACATGAAAAAATTTCTCAGTTCTGATTGGTTAAGGCAGTGCAGTTGCTCATAAATACCAGTGCAAAAAGGCGAAACACCGGTGCAAAAAAGCAAAACACCAGTGCTGATTTCACTTTAAAGCTGCTGCTGGTTGGTTAGTCAAACAAAGAATAATATAAGAGCCAATCAAAATAAACATTTCAAAAGCGGGAAAGTTAAATTATTGTAAACAAAGTTCTTCGGACTCGTGCAATTATAATAGTCTTTGAAAAACTCACTCGCGCATGTTTTTCCCAAATTGCACTCGAAACCATGCTATTACATATACAAAGCAAATGTCAACAAAAATTTTTTTCGGGGAAAAAGGATTCTTAAAGATTAGTCATATGTTAAATGCATTCTTGAGCTCAAAAATAACAAGAAAATGCATGTTACCAGGTTTTGAAACGACACCAACACAAGCAACACCTACACTTATTAAGAGTAAGATAAAAACACTAAAACAAAGATAACTCAAAAACTTAACACCATTATTAATTCCACAAGGATAAAACGGCATTAGTTTCAATGCAGCTATACCAACACTCTATTATCAGTTTCCAAATAATATGTTTTGCAAACAATTTTCCATTTTTCATTGACAAAAAACGATCGTGATAAGTGTCAGTGACATAATTTTCAGAGCAAATTATGCTCAATCACACCTTTTCATGCCAGACTTTTTTAATTTTATAAAATATCAATTTAGGACGTTTTTGTCAAATGCATACAGTCCTATTCAAAATCCGCATGTATCAAGGCTAGGTAAACGTTTAAGTTATGAATTTTTTTCTTTTGATGACCTCCCATGAAAGGTAACATTTTAAAGACATCAGAAAGAATACTGCAATTTTTTTCTGAAGGTAAGAGTGTTTGCATATGACGTCAGAACGGCCGTATTAGGGGAGTAAAAAAGGTGCCTATGCTCAACAGAGCATGAAATTAGTATAAAATCTTTTAATATTATTGGCTTTCCTCCAAACATGGAGACCGATGAAAACACTCCATACCAAAAACTTGATAGGAGGGCAAAATTTCACGACCTTCGTCTCGGATTGACCATATTTCCAAGATTATTTGTGGCTTGATTGCTTAAACATTTTAAGTTTTGAAATATTATTGTCCAAACATTTAAAATTTTTCTAGGTTACATTATCCAGCAGTTATATTCACTATGAATATCTGTGACTTGTTTTCATAGCCACCAAGAGATTTTATACAATTTTGCGACTGCAAAACTTTATGATACATTATCTATTGCTAGTTCAATGATCAGACGAAAAATTTTAAAACAACAAAGTCTAAACAATTAACAACGATTGTCTTAATTATAGATTCTCGTACAAGTCAGCCGCCGCCCCCTCCCTTAAGGTAAGAATCTCAGGGGGGAATGCCCCTGTAATACTACCCAATTCAAGTGACCATTGTTATCAAATCTGTGTTTTGATCGCACTGCACTAAACAAAAGGTCTTATTGCAAGGCTAAAAACAGAGCAAGAATTTCTCAAATTTCTCAAATTTCTCAATTTCTCAAATGTATCAAATATTGCTCCAGTTTTAGCAAAATTTGGATACACCTTTTTTTCATAAATTCTGTAGTTTGCAGTCTCCAGAGTTTTGATCAACAGCACAGCTGTGGAATGCAGGCACAAGTGCCAGGTATAATTTGTAGAGCTATGCTAATCTTTATGTCAAACATTGACCTTCGATTTATACATCATTCTTCATAGGTATGAAGGAGAGAATTATGGTATGTTAACTTTATGAGTACAATGACTTTAACCTGTTCTCGACAACTGTGTCTAATATTTATGAGAAAAATATACAAGAGTGCAAATCTACATTAGATATTACTGTAGTCCTTTCCACAACATACTATGGCCTTTGTGAGAATGTTAATTTCCACAGTAAACTACCATTGGGTGTTATTATTGACTTTATTACTTATCATTAATTTTAAAAAATTGACTTTAATGGCTTCCCTTCCTACTCTAACTCTTGTTCAACGTGTTCTCAAAAATCTCTTTGAACAAAAGCCACCTATCCACAACACACCACAAGTGCCTTCCCTTTACTGGCTCACACTCTGTACAAATTTATACCCATGCTTACTCCAACTACGAAGGCAATGCTGTTTATCCTCATCTCAATATTTGTCTATTGCTCATCTGCACACATTTTATTTTTGTTGCCTATCTAAGATAGGGTTTCTGAGATTGGGTGTTATTTAGGTGGATTGCAACCATTACCAAAGGAGTCAAAGGACAACGAGAATTTGGGTTGAAATTTGCAAACCACCTGTACTGATTTTAATGTCGAAACTGTTCAGTGTGGGTCATGCTAAGCATTATTTAAAGAACATGATAATACTTAGATAGAACATTAGGGAATCTCTTTTTAAATATGAAAACTGCTATTCAGTAAAAACAAATCCAATTGACAGTTGCACATGCACAATATAAAAAAGCTGGCAAGCTTGGTATGAAATAGTACATGTACAAAAAGTGCAAACACAAAAACTATAGGATAGAACAGACATATACATATAATGCCATGGTTAGAAATTGCCACCCGAATGAATTAGCCTTTTCATACCTGAGATGGATGATATTTGGTACTATGCATGAATGAGGCACATAAACTTTCTTTGAGAGTCCTGTTGTGCCAGATGTTTGCATGACATATGCAAGATCTTGTACATCATTATTTATATATGGTGATGTGCTAGTCACTTTAAGCAACGAATATCCTATTTCGTTCAATAGTTCGCATTGTATTCTTTCCATATTCGTTTTTTCTGCATTTCCCTCACATTTAAGACACATCTGTGCAGTTAAATCACTTTGAATTAAAATATAACGGATAGAACAAATATCGACATTGTTCACTAAATTTTTTTGCTGCAGTGCCAATGATATAGGGAAAAATGCCGCCGATGCACCCAAAACTGCCAGAAGAATTACGGGTAAGTTTAAACATTCGCGAGAATATATTCCAATAACTTCATTGTGAAAAAAGATTTCTTCGAATTTCAGTCTGAGATGCTGCACTCGAGAACACAACTCAAAATAAGTTAATTCTGTAACGGTATCCCCAGAAAACGTTATGGCTTTGTTGTTCGTAAAGTTTTCCACAGCATGAATGAACAATTTGTACAAATTGTTCTTTGACATGATGTTTCTTGAGCGGGGCTAGTACGGGCTACACGGAATACTTTAGCAACAACAAGACAACTGTGAAATTGGCACCACCTTGGGACAACATTCAACACTACATTCGACTAAATTTTATCATTCAAAATGACAACTTTGAAAGTCGTTTTTAATCCACGTTTTCTATAAAATAAATCACTTACAACATTTCTTAGCTTTGTACGACATTAATTTTCCGAATAAACAACACATAAAAAGCGTGGGAGTAAAGACAATCACTGGAAAAACTGAGCTTCATGTACCACGTTGATATAATTCCCCTTGTCAACCTATAGATATTTTCGCAAATATTTCCGTAATACGGGATCGTGACAGTTGAGTTCTATAATATTACCTGGAGGGGAAAAGGGGCTTGGGAACTGTTGTCAAAAACATGGTGCCAAAAGGAAATTTTGGACGAAAAACTTCCACTTGAAAAGTTATTTTTATCATTCACTCCGTCCTGGGCTCGGTCATTGAGTTCTATAATAACTGGAGCGGCTAAGTGGACTGGGACCTCACGCCAAAAAAATGCCGTCCAATGTGAGGCGCAAAACCGGACAAATTTGTCTTTCAGGAAATATACGTGCTGAACTTCAAATTTGCATTTTCTGAATCGAGTTAATCGGTTCTTAACTCAAAATATATCTGATAAACTTAAAAAATATATGCCAAAATTAAAAAATATTTGCCAAACTTGAAAAATTTATGCTAAACTTGAAAAACTTATGCTAAACTTAAAAAATATATGCTCTCCGAAAAAAATATGTTCTAATTATGATGCTTTGCGGCCTTGTTTTTATCACGTGGGCTGTAAGCGTGTGTGGCCGCCATTTGCAAATTGCAATAGATTCTCGAATCTCGATTGTTGAAGATGCTAAATCAAAATGAACTTCAGTTTCACTTGAATAACGCGTTACAAAGAATTAGTCAGTTGGAAAGTTCAAATATTACTCCTAACAGTCCGCTTGGTTCGACGAACAACTCCAGAAGAGCAGCGGCTCGACGCAAAGTCGAATTAGAGAGGCTAGGAACTGGGTTGAGCTCGACGTTAGTAATCTATTCAACTGACAAATGGACTATTTTATAGGGAAAATTAAACATTAAGTATGCCTCTTTATCGCAGACAAGGTGTGGGCATCATCGAAGTTGATTGGGCGTCATCATTACAGTCTGCCAAATCAGTTATAACCGGTATAGTGTCTTTTTTGACCGATACCATTGTCCAGGTCCCTTTAGATAGACTAGATAATCTGGAAATCTTATATAATCTTTACGTGTTCTTTTTTCATAACTCTGCTAAACAACGCAAACACTGATCAAGAAACATTCGGTTTGCTTGCAAACGTCTTAAACAGTCTATTGTCAATTCAAAGAGCACTTTGTCTTGAAATAGAAAGGCTCCAATCAATCAATGATGAAAATTGTTACAGGTGTCCAATTAATCCAACACACAGGCCGGGTCGACCAAAATACTATATTACAAAAGATCAACTGGAATTTTTGCGAAGCAAGCACTTTTCGTGGGTTAACATTGCCAAATTACTTCATTTGTCTACGCGAACATTACGGAGGAGAAAAAACGAATTAGACAATTACGAGTTTTCTAATACCTCGGAGGATGAGCTTACACAGGCTATGGAAGACATAAGGAAAGTTACCCCAAATATTGCTCAGAGTAGGATAGTAGGTGCGCTAAGGGCTACAGGGATTCATGTTCAGAGGCAAAAGGTGAGAGAGTGTTTAAGACAAATTGATCCAGTTGGAACAGCACTTAGATGGATCTCAGCAGTCTACCGACGTAAGTATTATGTTCCGCATCCTAATGCACATTGATGGCAACCACAAGTTAATACGATGGCGGATATAAAGAATGTTATATGCAGTGCGGTGTTTGAAATTAAATGAAGATATGATCTTCGCACTTTGCTGGACAATTTAAGCAATTGTCTCATGAACCTGAAAAATTCAGGTGACTCAACGGGATTCGAACCCATGACCTCTGCGGTGCCGGTGCAGTGCTCTGACCAACTGAGCTATGAAGTCACACAGTAGACCAATTTTGTTGGGCTCATGTTTTCTCGTGAAAGGAATAACATATGAAGAATGTTATATGCAGTGTGGTGTTTGAAATTAAATGAAGATATGATATCATAATCGAATCCCGTTGAGTCACCTGAATTTTTCAGGTTTATGAGACAATTGCTTAAATTGTCCAGCCAAGTGCGAAGATCATATCTTTATTTAATTTCAAACACCGCACTGCATATAACATTCTTCATATGACATTCCTTTCACGAGAAAACATCAGCCCAACAAAATTGACCTGCTCTCCACTGTGTGACTTCATAGCTCAATTGGTCAGAGCACTGCACCGGCAACGCAGAGGTCATAGGTTCGAATCCCGTTGAGTCACCTGAATTTTTCAGGTTCATCAGACAATTGCTTAAATTGTCCAGCGAAGTGCGAAGATCATATCTTCATTTAACGATGGCGGATAGTTATTCACGCATGTACTGATGGTTACAGCCAACTTATTATATACTTGCAACGTGCCAATAATAATCGCGCATCATCTGTGCTAGAGTTTTTTACACAGGGAGTCAAACAGTTTGGTTTGCCATCAAGAGTCAGATCAGACCATGGCTTAGAAAATGTAGGCGTTGCACGCTTTATGCTAACCAACAGGGGTTGTGGAAGGGAAGTATTATAACGGGTAAATCAGTGCATAACATTTGAGTTGAGCGTCTCCATAGAGACGTTTATTGTGGCGTACTTTCTCATTATGTCTGGCTATTTACTAACATGGAAGAAGATGGTTTGCTTGATTGTCTTAACATCACCTATTCGCACTAAATTACGTTTACATCCCAAGAATTCAAAGATCTCTTAACGAATTTAAGTACCAATGGAATAGTCACCCCGTTAGTACTGCTGAGAATCTGAGCCCTGAACAACTATTTATCAGTGGAGCTATGTCCAATTGCAATGAAAATATACTGGTAGAAGAGAGTGACCAAGACGAACTTGGTGCCGGCATGGATTTAGACGAAAATGAAACTTTCTTAATCAGTGATGACGAGTATAATGTTTCTGTGTCGCAAGTAAATGTCAATGAAGAGCAAACAATCTTGGTACACGAAACTATTGATCCCCTACATGATGATGGAAATCATGGTGTAAATGTGTCTAGAGTGTTTACAATTGATGAGCGAAACAACAATCAATCAATAGAATGTACAGTTCTCCTAATTTTTTTCCAATATAAAAATACCGTTCATTAACATAACATTTTCGTTATTAAACTATATATTCTGGAGAAAAAACAACGCTAATTCAAAATTGGAATCACAAATAGGTTGAAACTAGTTGGTGTCTCCCATACTTAACGAAATATTAACCTAACCTTAACATAATTGTTTAGTTGTTTAAGCAATGTGAAATGACCAAGACAATTTATCAGCTAAGATATTGCTGAACTCTTCGGCTAACTCGTTGTAACATTGGTACGTACTTGGGAGCTCTAACAATGGTGCACATGCAGGGGCGGATCTAGGATTTTTCAAACATCAGTCATAAAACGTCGGAGGCGCTGTGCACCTGGGGGGGTCTGAGGCATTCTCCCCTGAGGAATTTTGAATTTCAGAGCCTTGAAAATGCCATTTTCAGCGTTTTAGAGCAATACAAAATGTATTTTGTGGGCATCGGTTTTGCGTGAATACAACACATTTTGCTTACGTTTCTTTTAAAAAAAATTGAAGTGAACAATACTTGAATGTTTTGCCAAATATTTAGGCTCATTATCATGCCAAATATATAGCTCATTAGCATGTCTAGGAACGTAAAATTTATTTTACAACAATGCTATTCAAAAACAGATATAGTCTTTAAAAATTTCTACCAAGTTTTCAGGCATAGACCCCCCTAGAGACCCCCATTCAAACCTCTATGTAATGAGTTAAGTTAGAAATTTGGTACTACAAGTGACAGTTCATAGATATAGAAAAGCTCAGACTTCAAACCATGCAAGTTTACTGTAACAGAGCCAGCAGATTCACCTTTTGAGAAAAAACTTAAAATTTTTTTCTGCCAAAGATTAAGCAAAAATTATTAGAGTTAAAATTTGCAATTAAGGAGAACTTAAGGCCATTAATGTTTATTAGGCATTTCACTAGACTATTATCTTCTGTAAGTATATGCTAGGTGTGCTACATAGCAATCACTAGTAGCATTGTATTTGCCAATACAAATAGAATGTAACCAACATGCCTTTAATTATATAATTACATGAATGTTAAAATTGGTTCATGTATCATGCTTACTGGTTATGATAAATATCTTTTCATATGATCAAAGCTCGTTTAAATGTAAATCTGAAATGATTTAGTTTAGAAATTATAATGATCATCAGAAAAATTACCTAGTGATCATGAAAAATACTTTGCTGTTTTGCCAAATTTCAAGGTTTATCTGCATACATAGAAATCTTGACATTTTTACTTTATAGAAAATGCTTTTCATACATCAATAGCCCTTTGGAATTTATGGCAAACAATCTGGTATGAGTCGTAGATTAACACAACTTTAAATCTCTACATGAGGTGTCCAGTTAGAAAAGGGGACAATATGTGACATGGGACAACATTTCATGTATGTGAAATACTCGGGTTTAATACCATTTTAGCCAAATTATCAAAATAAAAAGCTTCGTGGATCAGAAGACTCAAAATCATAGGTTATAGTAAACAGCTTCTCATGTAATCAATGTTAGATTTCTCAAATCTTAAACAATATGTAGTATAACTGTCCAATGATTGAATGATCAATGATCATAAACTGAAAAGCCCCAAACATTTGTTTATGATAAAGTAAATAATAGTATGGCGCCTTATGGCTACAGATTTTTTGTCCATTGAAATATATTTGCAGGAATGTAGGATTTTGCCAGGGGCGGATCTAGGATTTTGGATACCATAGGCAAAACATTATGACGTCATTCAGTGCTAAACCTATGACGTCATACTTTGCAAAACATACTACACTATTTATGCTTTCGATAAATTGTTTAAATCAAACAGTCTAATCATTCAGCTATGCAGAATCTTGTAGATCTCAATCGTATAAATACATAAAAACATTGTATATTTATACTTACATATCACAAGGTCGTTGATTTTCACTATTCAGAATATTGAATGCACACAAGACTGTTTCGCCCCATATCAGGGCTTATCAGCATGCCTAGGCACACTTTAACGCAAAACAAAAAATCGTGATCCGGCATGGACAGCCCTGTGAGAGCCGAATTAAGCAGACTGGTTATGTCGCCAGAAGTTCGCCTACACACCTTTGAAAAAGGAGTTTGGTTAGAAATGGGTGACTATATGGGATATTTCATGGATGTGATATTGCTCAATTTTTCACACCATCCCAGTCAATTCCAACCCTTTACCCCCCCACCTAAAAATGAGCACTCTGGTTTTTGAAGGCGCCAGAAACTCGCCTTTCACACCTTTAGCAAATAGCAAAAGGAGTTTGGTTAGAAATGGGTGACTATGTGGGACATTTCATGGATGTAAGATTGCTCAGTTTCTTACACCATCCCAGTCAATTCCAACCCTTTACCCCCCACCTAAAATGTGCACTCTCATTTGCCAACAAATGAGCAGAATGTAAATGTAATGTAATAGTCAAAATAGAGCTTAGTATAAAGAGTCTTTGTGAAGACTAAAATTTGGTGTAAGGAAAAATTATTCTATTTATGCTTAACAATTTTTGTGAAAGTAAATTTATGTCGACAACGGCCGAGTACCATACACGTACTCAGCAGTTTTAAGATTGGAATGTATATAGGGAAAAAAACCTTTATCGGGCGAGCTATTAGTTTGATGCAAATTCTATTGACGTTACTATTGTGTACAACGCACAATAAATGGTTAACATATGGACATTTCAACAAAATAAAAAACTAGGATATGAATAAATTCATGCAAATTTTAGCCTTGTATTTCCAACAGCAAAAGTATTAATAACCTCACCAATATCTGGTACAATTTCCTGATGAATTTGCATCAAGGCCAAACCATTTAAGCGTTCCCCAACCATGGTACTTCGCTGATAGTTTTTAAGTGTCCTAAGGGAAGAAATAGATCGTTCACATTCACAAGAGGTAATGGGGAGCGTTCCTAAAATACGTAGTAAAATTTTAATGTTTTCAAATCCGGCGAAATGAACAGATTTTAAAGTCTGGGCAATGTTATCAGGAAGGAGGCCGCAGTGGGTCTCCCAATAAGTGTACCACAACCTAAGTTCAGCATCTAAGGCCAAAGGATTTGGCAAATCATCATAATAAAAGTTAGCCACAGTTTTGAATGGCTCTTTCCAATCCACCCCATCTCTTGTCATGGACATCATTTTCGTCGGTACAATGCTAAGGCCTTTATAGACATTCACACTCTCAAGGTCGAATCGTGATTCTAAAGAAGATTGCAAATGATCTAGTAGAGGAAGAGTAATTGCACGTTTATAATACTCAGAAATGGTTGTGTGGGAATATTTTCCCTGGTCGTTTGTTTGCGCACTGTTCTTGGTTTCCATTCTTCAATGCCAACTTTTGCTGCCAGTTCAAGCGCTTCGTCATACCAGGTGTCATGATAAAAATCAGAGGAATTCCTCATGTTCACCACCTCAGTTTTCAAAGTTGAAATTAAATGAATACCATCCATTATATCGATACTCTTACCCTGTAATAACTGTGTTACTGGAAGAGTTGAATCAAGAATATTTCTCGTGATAACTAAAGCAACGACGAAATCAAACCTGTCAATAAGTTGAAACAAAGATGAGGCATCAGACTGAAGCGACGGTTTGAACTCACCATCTAGATTTTCAGACATATCGTTAAGGGTGGTGTATACAGGTACAAAAGCTCTTGGAATGTATCTAAACCTTCGATACGTTCTACCCATCTAGTTTTGCAAACGTCTGTTAATCTAGTCTTTTTCGAGTTTGTTTCTGAATTACGTATATGTTTTTCAAGGGAATATTGCGAGTTTGGGAAATTTTAATAAAATTAGTGGCATTGTTAACATGTTTCAACATATCATTGACAACACGTATACTCAAAGAATCGCAAATGGATAAGTTTAACCTATGACTATAGCAGTGTGTATAAAGAGCCTTTGGGTTAAGCTTTAAAATTTGAGCTGCTAGACCATTAGTGCAACCAGCAACTGAACCAGCCCCATCATAACCTTGCCCCCTACAATCATCTATTGATAAAGTCAGTTCCTTTAGAGCCTCTAAAAGTAGCTTGGCAAGTTGAGCACCACTTAGTCTCCACTTACAAAAAAGAAATGAAATGAATTCTTCCCTGATATTCATATCGGTATCAACAAAGCGCAAAACAAGAGACATTTGTTCTTTATATGAAGAATCAGATGCTTCATCAGCAATAACAGAAAAAAACTTTCTTTTTTTGATATCAGAAATAATCTGATTACTGATTACCTGGCCACAACATTTAATGATTTTATTTTGACTTGTTTTAGAAATATAACTTCTATTCTTACCACAATTCTTTAAATGATTTTCTAAAACTTTATCCCCTCTCCTAACTCCATAATTGAGTGTTTCAATGAAATTACCAACCCCTCCAGATGAATAACAACCAACAGTAGGGTGATACTTGGAATCATCACGATGCCCACGAAGAGGTAAACCTAGACGTCCACAAAAAATGACAGAATCAATAATTGGAGATAGTATTTCCCTATTCTGTTCTATTTCTTTCTTGATACCAGCATCCATGATCATCTCGATAGGCTGCAGAGTACCTGATATTTGGGAACGCAAAGCATCAAAAATTGGTGATGTGGATGCATGCAAACCGACTTCCCTCCCTTTACTTTTTCCAGCATGTTGAGTGAAAGAGCATTTAGCATTCTTCCAATCTTGAAGAGGTTCAGTAAACAACTTTTTTACTTTACTGGCCTTGCCTGGGAATCTATTGCCAAACAACACACACGATAGACAATACGCACCATTTTGTGAAGGTGAATAGCAAAGCCATTCATGCTGGTCTAGCCAATCATGCCTAAATGATCTGCCATTAGATTTAGGAAAATGATACTTTTTATCTGGTTTATATACATTTTTTATCAAATGACATATTTCAGAATTATCCATACCCTTAACTTTCTCCCTATACAAGGAAACATCAAAATTATGGGTTAAAACAGCAGGTTGCATATCACCAGAAGTTGGAATACCAGGCAATAGTTCCTGGGATGATGTGTGAAGCAAAAGACTATTGGCTTTATTTAATGTCTGAGCAAGAGCTGCAGCAGAAGAAAAACTCTCATTGGGCATCCTTTTAAAAGTTGGTTGGGCAGCAGGCCTATTAGTTGAAGTAAAAAAATTTGAAATGTCAACTGTTTTTGGTGCAATATTTGGAAAAATTTTGACAAATTTTCGTTTCTCTGTTGTTGAGCTGCTAGAATTAGACTGTGTACAGGAATTAGACAATTTTCGTTTCAACCTGTGGGCATGGAAAATGAGAGGCACAAAATGATTAGACTGAAAAGTCTCACCTGGTTGTACAGATCCTTCATGACAAAACAAAATATTAATAGCATCCAAACCTCTTTGGCTTAATAACCGGGGCTGAACAATACGATTAAATAACAATTTATATCTACTTTCACCAGAATCAGGATAAAAGTATGAATTTTTCTACCTAAAACAGAAGATAGGCCCAAAATACAAAGAAAAGATGACCATTTCTGGTCATTACAATTTAAAATAGCCTCCTGTTTTACCAGTTCATCTGTTGTAATCCAGTGTCTAAACATTCTTTAGACACTGACAAAGGCAAAGATTGTTTAAGCTTTGGGCAAAGTAATCACTGTGCTCACTTATAACAGACAAAAAGCATGGGTGTTGAGCATAAAAAGCAGCATGAATAAATAGCTAAAGCGATGTTAAAATTCGCAAAGTAGGGACCAATGCATTGTTACCTACCAGAACTAGGAAGCTGAACTGTAGAGGCAATTGCCAGAAGCTTCAGATCTTAAAAATATTCAAGAAAAGAAATTAATATTTTGTTTGGTAGATTGATTGCATTGTATGAATGAATTGCTGACTGTAGACAAAGATATAGCCTAGCGAAATTGAGATTTAACCATTTTACACGTATATATAAATACTACAATACGATATATATAATTATAATATATTTACCTTATTGCAGTACAAGTCTTTCCGTCATGAGCGTGCTTTGGCACATATATTTCAGCTCCAAAATTTCGACACAGAGTATGGTCGGGGTCATAAATTCTATCTAACAGCTGCTCGTTAGTAAACATAGGTCGAACGTCGACCAATAAACGAGAATAAAGCTCATTAAGGCATTTTAAATCGTTTTGGCCAACGCAGACTGAGCAGTCTCGTATAAATTACCACAACACAATGAAGACATTATAAAATATCACAAAACCGTAAACTGAGCACAGAGGCTGTTCAGAAACAATACGAGTGTATGTTAATTTTCAATTGCCTAATTTGCCTAGCTCAACTATGCTTATCAACAGCAATGATTGGTTGGAATTGCTCAAGTTAGGCAAAAAATTGACCAATGAAAGCATACGGTTGCAAAAATTGCCCAATCAGAATACCTATACACGATGTCAAGTTAGGCAAATTCATCTTGTTTAGGCAAATTGCTAACAACCAATCAAATGGCTAGATCGCCTTCTTGACTTAGGCAAAATGGCTGCTTTGCCTAACGACACGGAGCTTTATAGATAATCATACGCATCTGGACTACGATTCATATCAAAATTACGTCATTTAATTGCACAACATTTCTAAACAAAAGTCAGATGATTTGACTGCGATAAAGTGCTATTCATAGTTTCATAATTCGATAAATTCGTATCGAATCTAAGTCGAAGTATATTTTGGTAATTTCACCATACCATAGGCACTTGCCTATGGTGCCTACCCCTAGATCCGCCCCTGGATTTTGCTGCCATTTAACGGCCACGATTCCCCAAGCACTAAAGAAATCATAGCTAAAAGTCCTCGGCAACAACAATTTTAGAAGCATCAATCTGCTTACCATACGCCATATTGACATAAATCGCATCACACACTCGCATAAATTGACTTTGATATATTACATTCATGCATACACTTCACTTGTCCTTTACTTACGATTTTGGATGTAAATTTCTGCTGATAAAACTCAAAACAATGTTGGCTTTCTTTTGAACATCAATGACTGAAATGTCGCTTGCGAGATCGTCTTTGCCAAGCATTTACAGTTTATCCATAAATTTTTCACCCTCTTGAAAAAATTCACAGTTTGGACAGCAGCATTCATGTCAATATATGAATTTGTAAAAGATTTCCATAAATTCCATCTGATTGTAGTTTAGTTTCTATCATGCTTATAAAAATTACTATGAAACGATCAAACATTCAATTCAGACAGTGAGCTTGACAATGTTAGTTCAGTTGGCTATCAGTCGAAACCCGTCAAACCAATCACAATAAAACAAAAATTCAAGTGAACCAATTGTAAGATAGCAATTGGACTCCCTTATACGTCCGGCCACCCCTATTATAAGTCGAGACCATTCCAGACTGTCCACTGATCTAGCCATTGACCAATAAAATAAGCGTTTTTGGCGTTCATGGACTCCTTTATCCGTCGAACTAGTCAAGCCACCCCGCTTATCAGTCGGTTATTCCAGGTCAATTAAAATTCAACTGATCTGGTTACCAACGAGATATTCATTGGATTAGTCATTAGTTTTCAATGATAAATAAAGCTGGATTTTTATCACGAAGTAAATGCGATAAGAAAGTAAGAATAATTAATGAATTTTTAATTAATATGAATAGGTAATTTTTGAATTTCAAACATCAGTCGCGCGACGGATTTGACATACTCTAGATCCGCCCCTGTGCACATGTATGCGCAATTGGCCGCCTAGCAAAACCCTGGGTAACCACAAACTCTACTTTGAACTGTTCAGTTACAATAATGTCGCTACCTGTAGTGAACTGAAGAAATTGTGTTAAAGACTGATCCCTTAAAGACTTAATGTACTGCTTTAAAAAAGCCATACATTGGTTTTCAGCATCATTATTTGGTTCGCATTTGAGTAGTTTTATAACCTTACGTGTGGTTGGTTTCTTTTCATGATACAGTTTTCTTATCTCTTCGATGGACTGAAAAGGAGGAAATGACTTTAATTTATGGATATAAGGCGTCCAACAGTGGACTACATGTTTAAGCTTCTGCAAATTTTCTTGATGTGCAATCTCACTAAGTATGGACATCACGTTTTCTTCACTCGGCATGCGGAAACACTTGTACGAACTCAATATAACTCCTTGTTCATACACTTATCAAAGGTCTCACGTTCATCATCACAGATGTACATTCTGAAGGATTGTATCAAGTCATCACGCTTTAAGCTTTCTTCCTCAAAAAGACAAGTAGCTATAAATGCTGCAGAAAATGAAATTGGGAAATATTTTTCCCTTATGTAGCCATAAATAAGAATTTTAACAATTGCAACCCATTGCATTTTTTGATGGTCATGCCTTATTGAAGGCACTTTTTCCAGCACACCAATTCCCAATGAATCAAAAAATTGTTGCCAAAAGCTCGTAAGGACCTCCCTGGCTACATCCACTCCTTCACCCTTTTCAGGCAAACCGTTAAAACCAATGACAGTGAACATTAAAACACTGCTCAAAACGTTTGGGTCTTGAAAAAGTACTACCAGGTCGTTTTTAATGTTTGTCCTGTGTACTGTAACAGCTCTTACATCACAACTTTCCAAGTGTTCATCTGTCAAAGGGTACACTAAGTTGGAGAAAAAAGGAATTATATTCAGAAAATGTGCATCATGTTCCATTCTATTTATTTTGAAATTTTTAGGGAGTTTTTGAATATTTTTTGTCTGTTGTCATATTTTCATTTAACATATACAGTAACTTTTAAGGAAGAATATTACCTGAATAGACCTTTTCAAGGTTATCGTAGCCATATTGCAGGGGGTGCAAAAACATTGGGCCGAGCGCGCGGTCACGCATGGCGTCCATATAAATTACTAATAAATGCGCAAAAATTACTCTTATACATATTGGGCATTTCTTTCAAATATAATTCTCAAACTCGTCCATTTTAATAGTCGAATTATTATTTGCGATTTTTTATACATGTGAGTCCAATTTTGTGGTAATCAAAAAGCGGAAAGTTAAAGAAAACATTTGTTTTCTTTGAACAACTTGACCGTCGTTTGAGCGATGTTCTTGAGTTCGTAACACACGCACATGTCTATAGCAAAGTCAACAAGTATCACGAGGAACTATTCTACGGCAAACTCTTATTAGTATTTCCAATTATTTGTAAAGAGACATTGCTATTTTTATTATTATGTATGGCGACTAAACAGCCAGAAGAAGAAACAGCCAAGTATTCAAATACACACTTAAAACTGTTAGTCGATGGCAGGCCGGTGTGAAACCTTACATCATACTCTCTCGTCAACTGTTCAAATTCCAAAGGGACAGGGAGTAAAGATGCCTCAGATTTTGCAGGATTTCCATCAAAACTTGAATTCGAATCCTCGGTGTCATAGGCTTGATGAGGACGCTTTGATGTCGTCCATGTTTCTCCTCCTCTACGTTTAAGCGGAGTCCTCGATTGCTCGTACTCTGATAGCGCAATAAAAACCGAAGGATAATCCGTTCCGCAGTTATTTGGGGTTATCTGGGAAAATAATTTGAGCAAACGA